TAGAAATAGCAGGAAAGCTTCACCCATGTAACACAACAATATAGATGCCTAAACAAGACCTGAACAAGGACAGCATCAATAGGCATGCTAACACAGAAGGGGGAAATATCATTAAATCTCACCCCTGGTCAAAGAATTACAGGAAATGAAAGGATGCTGAGAGTGGGAGAATTAGTTTTCTCTCATAGAGGAGCCTCTAATACCAAGTGGTCAGCCCTGTAATCATATACATGCATGCATCACTGAATAGATTCAGCAAGTTGTGCATGCATATATATGGAGGCCAGGAATTTGAGGGAATGTGATGTAGAGGGAACATTGGAGGAGTTGGAGAATTGAAAGGGAATGGATGGAAATAATGCAATTATATTTTAATAAAATAAATAAATTTTAAACTGGTATTTGTAACAAGATGGTTTTATTAATTACATTAATGACCTTGATTTAACCACTCATAGTGTAAACCTATATCCAAGCATCAAATTTGACTCCATACATATGTAATTACTATTACACTGTAAAGGGAAATAAACAACTAAGTACAGAAACCCACATAATGCCTTATCTGAGTCCCAATGGATAAAGGAGTGCCTTCCTTGAGTGACAAGAATCTTGAGTTGGTCACTTAACTTCAATATTGTTTAGCTGATGTAGCCCAGGGAAGCCTCTTAGGTCAGAAGAATAAAACAAAAAATTTCCACAGCAGGAAAGTATGCATCTGCTATTCTTAAGAGGTGTAAGCTAACATTTAAGATGCTGCCAGATAGAGGTTGCCCCCTTACCTTCCATTGGGGGCCGTAAATAAGGAATCAAGTCTGAAAGACAAAAAATAATTTGTAAAGTGTAAGCCACTTTCTAAAGCACTGCATATACAGAATGACTACGAAATATACATCAGTGTCCTGCAACATCTCATCAAGTTGGGGTTGTATATCTACCCAGGGAATGTCACATCAAGCTGTAGAAAGCCAGGAAGTTCCATCCACTTAGATGTGAGCTCTCACTCCTCTGATGTCTTCCTTGGAGTCAGTTAAAGTCATCCCACCATGTCCAATGCCATGCCAGTTCTGTCCACTCACTAAAAGTCTAAGTAATATTCTTCTTCCAACTTATTGTTAACAGAACATTTCAATGAGAATATGGTGCCAAAGTAAATGTTAGCCATATTTAAGGAGCCTGGGTCAAGGGGGGGATGAGAAAGTTTGTCAGATAAATTGAGATTATAATTGACCCCAAACAACCATAATATGAGTGGTACCACCCCCAAATGCAACCAACACCTGCTGGAAAATATGATTGAGAGAGTACTTACAAGATTTTTTTGTGTGTTTGAGTTTTTGTTTTGTTATTCTTTATTCTTTATAAATGTGTGTATGTGTATGTGTGTGTGTGTGTGTGTGTGTATTTGTGTGTCTGTTTGCAAGCCATGATATATATGTGGATGTCAGAGGACAACTTGCAGAAGTCATTTCCCTCCTTCTACT